GGCAGTGAAGCATCAGTGCCAACACTGGTGTTGCTGTCTCTGATGATGATGCACATCACCCTTTGCGGTGTACCTGTCAGCTGTTTATCTCAGGACACCAATCAGCTGATTGGGCAGTATCAAACTAACTTGCGACGCCTTCGCTGTGGTCAACGATTCTCATCTTTATTTTTCGAAACCTGAGTTGTATTCTTCTCTTTCCGTCCTTTGCTCATTCCCGCCCACCTTTAGTTGGAACGTTACAAATCGGATGTCAGGCGGGAACGGATTTCACGAGAGAATATCGAAGCCGAACTTCAGGAGGCGTACTCACGGTTGAATAACCGAGAACACGAAGTGAAGCAACTTGAGTTGAATGTGACTGAACTAAGAAGACAGCTAGAGCTCGTTCAGGTAAAGTCTCTTTCCTCGTTTCAATCATCATCGTAGGATGTTCGGTTGCAAATGTTTGAAGCATCCTATTCCCTACATCCTACTGCCGTTTGCTATATTTCTTTTTGGATTTCTTCTCAGGTATACGCGAACCAGCTAGCGGTTACCGGTGACGCTGAACACGTGAAGTCCGACTTGGCAGGTGGCTTAGAAGTTGCCCATTTCTCATCACGCGAAGAATGGTTGACAGAACGGGCCAATCTTATTCAGCGTATCGAGGAGCTGGAGAATACTGCACTGCAGGCGAGCAAAGATAGTGGACGTCTCGAGTCGCAGTACAAAGCGTTCGTCGCACAGGTTAGTTTGCATTCACATGAGATCATGGGAGGCGTCTCGGTAGATTGACATTGATATGCGACTTATTGATTTTCATGAAGAAGATCCTGGTGACGTAAATCTTTCTGCTCAGTCAAGTGCCCACGTGATGCATTGTCACTTCACGGGACTGTGGACTCATCCTGTTGTGTGCAGTGCAGATGACGCATGAATTCTTGCCTGATCAACTGCGAGCGCTATAACGGTCATTCTCGGATGCTGGAAGACCCGGTCATCATCGTTCTTCATAAGCTATGATGACGTCTTGTCAATCTCTTATTTTTCTGCGTCGCCCCTCTAGATGACACAGAATAATGTTCCCGGGAGGCTTTTTGATAAGCCAACGAACTACTTGACAAAAACAACTCGTTGGTTGTTGACCAGTGGTCAGCTGATTACCAGCCAGTAAATAAATTTCAATACATTGCCAGCTCAGTTGCATGCTAGGAGTTCCTAGCTCACTGTTGCCCAAAGATGGACAAAGTTGAAGGGAAGAGAAGTAATTTTCGGGTTCCCGTCTTTAGACAGGTATGATTTCAGTAGAAAAATCGATGGACTTACCCTATCCGTGCCTGCATGAGACATTCGGGGCTCATGTTAGATTTGATATTTTTTTGAAACTCTGGAGGCCTTGGTATGTATACTGTGTGTCTTCGTAACCTTTGGTGTCAGTCATTGATGGAGTCGCTGGAGAGGTAAAGTGAAATCTTCCGACACGGCGGCCAAAATGGCGTCATTCCTTGGCGACTAATTATTGAATTCAATTTAATTTATCAGCTCCAGCTTCTGCACCTTCGATCACCGAAAAGTGGTGAATGTGGGAAATACAACCAAGTCTTGGAGGCGTGTTCAGTTAGTTCGGAAACTGGGTCGCCACGGCTTGGAGGCGACAGCGTTGATGCACGAGTGCCACTGACTGCGCTGTTGGGCCAGTTCTACCAGTGTCATTAACCGTGGGTGAGTGGTGCCCCGAGATCCCCCCTCCAGGGAGGCTCGACGTTGTTGGCGGAACTGAGTCGAATACTTGGGGTAATCATACTTCGTTGTCAGATCATACTCTGTCGACCACTGGGTCGCCTCCCCTCCGCACAGGGTTGGGCGAAAGCAGCTCTTCGAGGCAGACGGTCTTCTGGTATTCGGATTACATGTCATAACTAGAGTAACCTGTGAAGCGTAATTCGTCTATCGCGGGAGATTTCTGTCTTCCCAGGACTATCTGGCTTACCGCAGCATTTCGTATCCAATATTCCCACCAGACCCGATTAATGTTGCGGAGACAGCGGCGATTAATGAATGAGGTAGTGTCAAGGATAATCGATTTGTGAAAAAAAATCGCCCAGCTGTAGTACCATCCCAGTGCCTAGCTGCCATGCCACCGGAAGGAAGCTCAAGGGTTGGGATACTGCCAGCTTGCCCAAGCCTAGACAAGGGAAGTCGAGAGGCAGAGGTAGGGTTCGAACCACGGAACTTCCGGTCAGTAAATTCGCGCCTTAATCACTAAATCATCTCGCCTCCGATTTAGGAAGTTAGAAAGACAAGCAAAGAGTACCTCAAGACAAAAAGAACATAGAGATAGTCGGAAGAAGCTTTTGAACGGCGGGAATATCACTACTATCCTGTCCTGTTCATCTCGAATCTAACACTGTCGATGGCCCACCTTGAACGGTCACATCTTCTCGCTTGTTACCAATGTCTGTCGATCCAAACTGCTCTTCAAAAATCTGTTGTCACGGCGCGTTACTTCAATTTTCAAGTCTCTTGTTTTCCCAACATCCCGCCGTGACCGGCTATTCCCAGTGAGATATGCAATAAAATCAATGAAACGTTTTGCACATGACCAGGTAATGACCCAGTTTTACTGCTACTGTGTGATACTGGTGCTTTTGGCCAAAATACTGTTCGCTATCTTCTTACTAATGAGTTTCTTATTTGACTTCCACAGTGAAATAGTTATCGACTGCATCCAGTATCCGTAGTCTGTTGTTCTAATTAATAACATTTTTAGGGTACTACACCCAGCGGCATGTGACGCGCAGCCAACAGGTACGAAAGTTGAACTCTACTGGGTGTATCGCAGAGTTGATGCGTAACCTTTGATAGAGTATCAGATATGAGTCCATTTCACTCTCTTCGGAAAGCCTCCTTCTACTCTAGTGCGATTATTCTGGTTAGTCTACACCAAACAAGGCACTCCTATTGAATTCCGCCAAGAATATCGTAGTCAAAACCTGAGAATTACATAACCTGTTGGATGAGTGTGTTACTGCTTCCCCACCGATGCACACTAGACGCACTTTTGTTAGTTTGCTCCAACACCTTTGGGCATCTACAAATTTTGGGCGAGACAGCTCAGTGGTTAGCGCGCGAATTTACCGACCGGAAGCTCCGTGATTCGAACTGACCTCAGCCTCTCGACTTCCCCTGTCTAGGCTTGGGCAACCTGGTAGTTTCCCAGCCCTTGTATCTCCTTCTGGTGACATGCCAGCTAGGCACCGAAAGTGTTACGGCTGAATGATGGCCGCGACCATACAATGTTGGAAACACTGGTTCTCGTCTGATCACCGAGGTTAAGGAACGTTGGGCCCGGTTACTGATCTGTGTAAACTTCACCTGTGCGCACACACTCGTGTCGTTTGGACCCATGAGCATCAAGTGGGATTTCGACCGTGTAGACCGATTCTTCACACTCCGTCAAGTGTTCGAGCAACGCCACATGTATAGACGACCCGCAATCTTGGTGTTCCGTGACTTCAAGGGTGCGTTTGATTTCGTCGATCAGCCAGTGCTGCCAACTACACTTGCTCAACAGGGCATGCCGATCCTTATATTCACATACTTCTTGGTGGGTGATAGTGTTTGGAGAGCTCTTTGATAGCCTGTCTATAAAAAGTAGTATCCGACAAGGATCTTCACTACTTTGTTTTTCAACTTTGTCGTGGATGAAATGATGGGACGAGCGTTGGAAGGTCTTCAAATTGATGCCGGTGAGAGCCTCGTCGATCTGGACTACGCATACGACATCGCCCTTATTTTTAAACAGACAAAGGGAAGCACAAGCTCTGTTGAATAAACTGACCATCATAGTACCATTTCATGGCATGTGCCGTGCACCTTCAAAGTGCACAGTCATGCTTGAGGACGTGCAGTGTCTGCATATTTACCTTGCAATTCAAGGAGAATCACCGGGGTTTGTAGGGAATTCCACATACCTCGGTAGCTCTATTAGCTGCGACGGAAGTGTTTCTGATGAAGTCTGTGCAAGAATCTCAAAGGCACAAATCGTGCCTGCTAATTTACGTCATTTGGGGCATCGAAAAGGCATCGCTTTGGGTTTCGAGGGTTGCGTGAACCAGGTTACAGTAAGGGCTTTATTGTACGGTTGCAAAACGTGACTCCTGAGAACAGATGATCTGAGGCATCTCGAGGCTACCTCACAAGTGTAGGATGGCGTCAACGAATCCGTTACGGAGTAATTAGAAAACGGGATTTGGTTGTACAGCAGGTACTTCAGTCGCGGAAATCATCCAGTTCCGTTGACTACGATGGTTGGCCATGTGCTACGCAGGCTGAAACAGCTTCTAACGGGCCTAGTGTTGTTCTCGGTGCATCCTTCAGAAGGGTGCAGACTGCGAGATGGACAACGTGTGACTTGGCAAAAAGGCGTGAAAGAGATCACGAAGAGTTTGGGTGTTGTACGCCTTCCACGATGGGTTCCCCGTGACCCCGGCTGTGCTTGGCTAGAGGCATTGCAAGAAATGGCGGCTAATCGATGTCAATGGCGTTCGTGGTGTCATTTCCTTTCCAGATTGTCTGATTGAGCGCCTGGAGGTGTTGGCGTCTCAGATTGCTTGCGATAGAGGAGCACCACATTCTATTCCGCGTTCTTTTCTTTTCATTCTAAGGCTTTAAATTTGGTTAGATAAACTTTGTATTTGCGCGGCAGCGTCAAGACTGATGTTGCTGTTCCTGAGGATGATATCGGTGATGGCGCTCATTATGTTGAGGTACCAGTTGAATCCGTGGTGATCACCTACAGATTATTACCACATTGTTAGATGTTCTTCGCTAATGTCAATGTTTCTAGGATTTCCTGGACGGGATTGTGAAGGAATGAAGAAACGAAGTGTTCTTCATGATCATCTGTTCTTTCCGTTAACCATAAACAGTGTGAGAATGATTCAGATGTGGTCAGCCTATGAGTAGTACAACGGCTACCGCCAAAAAACTGATAGATGGGTCGGACAGTGAGACACACCAGTGGCATCAACAGATACGGTCCATTCACCTAGCCAACGTTGCCCATGCATCCAGGCTTTTGCCGTACAGCTATCCGAATTCTCAGTTCAGTATTTAGCATCAGTGCGCGACCATTCTCCCATTTTCTCGCCATGTTCATTCAGGGAGGATTTTTAGCAACTAGGATCATCGTACACCAGAGATTCAGCTGAGTTTCCTGTCAGAGCTAAATTCGTGTGCAAATGAAAGTATCTGTCGAGATCCGCCTGTCCGATTTGAGCTCATTTGGAACATAAGGTTGACGGAATTTCGGGAACCGCGCCTATTTGGTGAGCCCGAAGAAGTGTTTTCTGCAGCCTTAAGAGTAGTATGTTACGTCCAAAACCAACTCACCTTCGACACGCGGCCTGTCCCTGTACAGTTGTGGAAGTACCGCTGTAAGCGATAAACATTGTTCATAGTCACACCACCCATTTGAACCGTCATGCTCCTGTTCTGGCGTAATTATTCCGTGAGTCCACACCAAAGCTAAGCGTTGTACACGAGTTTCGCTCTTATTAGAGCTCACCAGTAAGCATTGTACACGAGTTTCGCTCTCATTAGAGCTCACCAGCAGTGCATGTCCAATGGCCGTGCCGGGATTTGAACCCCGGACATCTGACATGCGAAGCGAGCGTTTAACCAATACTGCACCAACGTACGTAGGACGCATCTGAATTTTCACGTCTGAACAGGCGAACGTGTTCACATTTGAGCGATGTGATTGGTGTGCCCGACCCATCGGACGACGACTCAGTAACTCTCCTGGTTGTGACGGTCGATTGACCCCGATAAACATTGGACTGAGATGCCCTATTCTGATGGTAACGAGGCGGTCCTCGATAGAGCGCACCCATTTGGGGAAAGCTTCTAGCTCCAATCTATATATCATTCTGACGTATTATATCTACCACACACACGCGTTTGGCAGGGGATTCAAGCCTTAAACAATCCACGATACCTTTGATTCGCTTAATCTTATTGGGAACATCAGCTTTGATTTGAGGGTATTTCTCAGCGAATGTTGACTTGTTTACCATGAGACTGATGATTTTATCACTCTGTCCAGTTCATCGGTTTGTCCTATCCGTAATCGGATTACTGAAACTAATTAGTCCGATTTGTTTCTGACTTTACATGAATTGAACGGTTTTAGTTGACCTGAAGTTGTTCTCGTGTTCCGGGAGCGAAACTGGCACAAAATACGGACTTATATAGTTCATCCAGACCGCCCTTCTACTATTCAAGTCACTAGTTGATACACTTGTATGTTCTCGCTACTTTCTCCTGAATTCAATGCGGCTCGAATTGTGCACACAAGCTACGTCTATCGATAGAGTCATCACTGTGCTACTGCCTCAGACCGTTGAGGTCCCAGTACATTGTGAGAGTGAAAAGTAGCCGTTTCAACGGTGGCCAGGCATAACCGGTAGCGGACGCTTTTTGGAGTGTCGTGAATATGATATTAGAACGGATCCGGTCGGAAAAAGACTAGTCTTCTGTGCAGACGTAATATACTACTCCTAGGGTTGCCGAAAATTCTTCGACTACTGTTTTGTTCTCATGCACACTCTGTATCCTCAATCACAACAGTAGATGAAGGGGCCGATAACGAATCTTTTAGACGTAACGACATTAGTCAGTCCGAACTGGAAAGGTTCAACGTAATGCTAGATCCTGTTGGAAGGGAAGACGGTTGAACGTGGCCTTCCTTTCTCTCCTGGCTGCTTTGTGTTGCTTTGCCCCTGTGTGTGTCGATCATTTTGACGACGTGCGTTTACCAGTGACTGATTTTTTTTTCCTTACCGATGAGAAAACATACCGAGTGTGCTCTGGTGTGACGAAGCCGTTAATTAGTTTTCCGCTTGCATCCGGTATTCCGAGCGTTGAATTGAGCCACCTGTGATTCTGGACATATGTGGGACATCAACTGGAGCGACTCGTTGTTATCTTCCTCAAGCATGGCAGCCTGGGAGAAAATCGATGAACTGTAAAAGACTTCGTTCGCTATGATCAACCCTTTCCAAGGCCCTTACACTCAATACAGGGATATAGTGAGTAATGTCACCCGGATCATCAAACCTGGTGAATTTTTATCGGTCAAAACGATGTTGGCGACTGACTGTTCGTGTTCCAAAATTTCAGTGAACGATGCTGGACTGATACATCCAGCGAATGGCGAATTGAGTTGAATTCACGTATCTATCATTCGTTAGGATCGACGTGACCTTGCAAGACATTCATTTTGCTTTGTCTGATTGGGCAGTCGTCTGGGCATGGTACAATGAATAGGCGAATGACAGCTGAATAGACCAGAACGTACTGCCTAAAGGGGAGAGTGGATGAGTTTTGGTGAACGACACTTCTCGGTTGCCCGAGCTAGGGAAAAGTGTTTAGTTGAAGTGCTCCACGTCCGCCTTTGACTTAAAAGTTCGAACTATAGGACATTGGGAGACGGGACTAGTCTAGCCTGCGTCACCAAGGTCTCCTAACCCAGTTTGAGTGTGTGGGGACTAGGGTATGGACGCCACACCCCTGGTACTACAAGACGGACGTGTTCGAAGCCGCCTCGAGCTCTTGTTAGGTTTTGGTTGTTTTTCTCCCGTATCGGGTAATTCACCGAGGGTCGTAGTCAATGTTTTAGCGATTAGAAGACGAATCAGGTTCGACATTTTCACATTCTCCCTTCTTCGTGAAACGACAGCATCACTGGTTTCATCAATGCGGAGATCTTGGTCACTCGGACTGCCTTCGTACTCCTATTCTACTGAACTTTGAGGCATTGCCCCCAGACATGAGTATTGCGCGGCTTCCTGTCGTAATTGGATCTTGTCGAACGAAGTTCCAGGTAGCATGTTCTTCCGAGTCACTGCAACATTCAAGCTGCATAATCACGTCAAAATCAACCAGCTTCTGGTCGACACAGGACCACTGATTTACCACGCACTGACCGCTCTGGAAACCATACACACTCTGCTTTCCCCGGGTTCAGATTGAAAAAAAGAACTTTTATTCAGCCTTCGGTCTTGAAAGATTCAATCACCGAACATATGCATGGGATGGTTCTCAATTTTTCCCCCAATTTTTCGACCGAATAAAATTCTACGCTGTTCCTTTTTCCAGGTGGAACAACAAGCGGGAGATTTACGTTCCCAACTTTCCGATGCGAACGCCTCCAAACAACAACTCCAGCTGTGCCTAGATGAAGCACGCCGCGCGTTGCGAGAAAAAGAAGATGAATTGATCGAATGTAGTGAGTTGTGGCATCTTGTATACCCGGATTCTTGTTACTTTCTCGCGAACCACTTTTCCCGGTGTTGTCTGTCTACCTCAATATGGTGGAATCACACTGGAAGCGAAAATTCATGCGGGAGGCATGGCCTCTGCAATGTCTTT